GTTAAGGTGTAAATATTCTAACAGATGAAAAAATGTAATAGCAGAAATAACTACTAAACATATAAACAGCCAGTTATCTTTTTTAAAAAAAACAGGGTTTCCATGAAGAATTGCCAAATAATAAAATGATTCTTGAATTATTAAAAAGATACTGTAAAAACTTAGTCCCGTTTTTATATGTCACTGAATCATAGTGATATGCTAAAATAATTAGAATTGGTTGGGCTTTTGCTGCAAAAAAACATGGAGCAGATTCTGCTCTCAGCTCAACAGGGACAGGCTGAGACAATTCATCTGAAGATAATATGCCAGATTCACAGCCTGTGTAAGTTGTATAGTTCTACTGATTTCATTTGTGTCACCCCAGATTTAAATCAATTCAATATTTGGCTCAATATACACAGTCAACAGATTACACCAGTAGAGAGCAGACTTTGGCCAAAGGAATTAGGTTGTAAACACAGAAAGTAGCAGTGCAATTTCCTTTTGTTGTTGATGGGCATAGGGGAAGGTCTAGGAAATAAGCTTTTGCAGTGGATGAAAACCTGTCCAGCTCAAGAGAGCAGCTTGGTGTAATGTAAAAGTAGAGGACTCTTGTAGTGGGCTGAACCTGGCCAGATACCAGGTACCCACTGAAGCCTCTCTATCACTCTCCCTCTGCAACTGGGCAGAGGAGAGAAATTAAAAAAAAAAAAACAGCTAAGGATTCATGAGTAGAGATAAGAGCTGGGGGAGGTCACTTACTGATTACCTTCATGGGCAAAACAGACTCAAACTGGGGATATTGATTAAATTTATTACTAACAGGGTAAGAGCCAAAGAGTGAGAAATAAAAAAGTCTGAAAAACACCTTCCCCGCACCCCTCCTTCCTTCAGTGTCCTCCCTCCTCCTCCCCAGTGGTGCAGGGGAACAGGAATGGGGGTTACAGTCAGTTGTTTCTGCCACTGCTCAGGGAGAGGTGTCCTTCCCCTGCTCCTGTGGGGTCGCACCTATGGGAGACAGTCCGTGATGGACCTCTCCAGCCTGAGTCCATCCCTTGGGCAACAGTTCTTTCCAATATTCTGTCCTGTGGGTCATTCCTCCAGGGGGTTCAGTCCTTCACAAATGAGCTGTACTGGCACAGGGGCCACAAGACCTACTTGGGAAAAGCCTGCTGCAGTGTGGGTTTCCCTCTCCACGGGCTGCAGGTCTCTGGCAGGACATGCTACATCTTGGGTCTCCCACAGGGTCACAACCTCCTTCATACATCCACCTGCTCCAGCATGGGCTCCTCCACGGGCTGCAGGGGGGTCTCTGCACCCCGATGGTCCTCCATGAGCTGCAGGGGCATAGCAGCTCCACCATGGTCTGCACCACGGGCTGCAGGGCCTCGGCTCCGGCACCTGGAGCACCTCCTGACCCTCCTTCTGCACTGATCTTGGTGTCTACGTTGTTATTCTCATGTTCTCACTCTGCTCTTTCCTGGCTGGAATTTCTTCTGTGCCACATTTTCTGTTCCTAAATATGTTATCACAGAGGCATTACTATTACTCCTGATTGGCTCGGCATTGGCAGGCAGTCCAGCTGGCCTTGGCTCCATGGGGCAGGGGATGCTTCTAGCAGCTTCTAACAGAAGCCACCCCTGTCGCCCCTCCCCACCCCCCTCGCTACCAAAACCCAGACACAGAAACTCACTACTTGAACCCAGAGTGCCGAAGAGAAAGTTACATGTCTGGCAATTGTCCCTAGTGCTTGTGGAGGCTCTCAGACCATCCTGCTCCTCTTCTGCTGCACTGACAGTTCCTTTTGTCCTGTACCCGGGCTATGTGTTGGTGAAAGTCTGCTGGTGCAGAACAGGTGAAGAATCTTTCTGTGCCACTGCCTACAGCATTAGGAGATGCCATTTTGGGTTTGGTTCCACAGATGTCAACAGAGATACCCAGTAGGCAATAAGGACCCTCAGAGTGGATGGATGTAAATGTGGGTAAATTCAGACTATGAGTGGATGAACAGTGATAGAAAAGTGCAATACAGCTCTACTCTTCTTCAGGTATATAAATTTTACACCAGTGTAACTCTAATGACATAAATACAGTTACTCCTGATTTAAATGAGGAAAATTTTGTTTGCTCTGAACTGCAACTACTTTGTATACATGGCTTTCAAAGAGTTTCCCTTTTCCTTCCTTTTTCTTTTTTTTTTTTATTTTTTCCCATTTTTTTGAAGAGAGGCTGCAGTAAGCAAAATGAATAAAAAGCAAGGTTAGAATTTGGGTCTTCTGGCTTCTTGGTTCCTGCTGAGAAGAATAGGCCATGCCAAGAAAATGGGAATCAGGAAAGGCAAGCAAAGTGTTAGTGATATGGAAATATATCTGCCATCACAAAAGAACCACTTTAATTAAAGAAAATTGCTCAACACTAATCTATCGTAAAAACCTTGTAAAGTACCACAAAGAAGCTGAACTAATTTTTTTCTTAGATTGCAAAACTGTTTAAGATGGTTTAACTTACCATGACAAAAACACGTTGAGGAATGAATTTTCGTTGCTGTTTACTGATGCATAGGGGCTTGGCTATTTTATTCACAGAGTAGGAATTCAACTCTTTCAATTTTATTGAATTGGCAATGTTTTGACAGCTTAACTTACTGTAACTTTAGAGTTTAATCAGTCAGACATTTAGGGAAAGCTGTTTAGCTAGCATAAATCTTTCTGGTGAAAGTCATCGTAAGAACCATCCCTAAGAACAGGGCTCGTGATAAAAGAAAAAATAAGTTAAGCACTGAAACCAGATGAGTTTAACCATCTGACACTGCCTGTGATGTCATTTTCAGAGCTCTTTTCTTTAACTTTGACATCATGAGGAACCAAACTGGCCTTTTAACAAGTTCATGTGCTAGTTTTAAAAAAATCATGTTAAGCTGAACATGGCACCCAAAACAATGCCGTGGTGGTGTTGGTATAGCAATATACCAACACTGTGATAACCAGGATTAGATGAAAGAGCCTGAAGTTATATTACAATTGAAATAAATAATTTATTTTTTATTGAGTTTGGGGTTTTTTGGACTTAGAGAAAGGAAATTACCATATGCAGTTAAAGGTAGAAGGCTATTCCAGAAAAACTGAGCTAAAAGTAGCTCTTTCTGATAGCCCAAATATCACTGGAATTTACACTGCATGTAGAATATAATATCTTTATCTTGTGAAACTGTGTGTTTTTCATTTTTTTGGTGAATTTTATTCAATTTATTATTCTGGAGGTACCTACTCAGAACAGGCATACCACTTTGATATTTTATTTTTTGCAGTCTCTTACTTTCCTAAATGCATGAAGCAGGATGCATCCTTTGCACTTTCATAACTAAACTTTCAGGCAGTGAGATTTTAGAAGTTTAAATTTAGAGTGTGTAAAGGGAAAAGGTGACTTATAATATCATAAACTGAATAACTTTATGTGCTCTGACCTATGAGTATTAAAAATAAAAACTGAGAAACTTAAACCATTAGTATTCATCATTTACAGCAGTTGCTTTTTTAAAGTTATGAATTTTTCAAATTGTTTATTGGGGCACTGTTTATTATGATGCCATTTTTCAGTGCTTTCTGGCATTAACTTATAAAGGCTTTTCACTATGATAAGTGACACATTCTGGGAGGAAATGACTATGCTTAAGAAATATCAGTTAAGAAATATTGGCCCAGTTCTGTGTAACTTGTTTTATTTATTTATTGGTTAACAATATATCAAAATTAGTTTAGTTTCATGGTCATGAAATGACCTGTAATGACAGAATTGGGCTTCAATTTGCAATGGCTTCTGCTTTCTCCCTAAGAAATGTTGGTGGAGATGGAACAAACTGCAGGAAGAGATCTGCCAAGCAGTCAGACTGCTGTGTTGTCACCCTCCTCCATTTCTTTGTTGGTTCTACACAGTCCATCTCCTTGACTTGTGTGTTGTTTTTCCTTTGTTATTTTACCTTTTCCATTTTCTCTCTCCCCTGAGATATCTTTGTACTCTCTCCTAGCCTTTCCTTGGTCAGAATCACGGTGGGCAACAGAAACATTCTGCCTCAAAATCACCTACCCAGTGGAGGAGCTGAGGACTAGACACTAGCATGAGTATTAGGACACTGAGCCTGTTTCTCAACTTTAAATTCTGTCCACTTCATTAGCTGAGGCTCAGTTCCTAGTCCTCTCTTGCTTGGTAGGCTTTGGAGGAACCTTATTTTCCTTGTCCCATATTAATGTTGAGTTGGGGATAAACCACCAAATTATTGCTTGTTGGTAGCAGCCTTTTCAGGGACAGAACCCATACCTGGGACTGCTGTGGCCTTTGCTTGCTGTGCCAGGCAGGGAATTTGTTGATTTTTTTTTTTTAAGGCAAATGACAAATTGCTGACAAATGCTGTGGAACATGATTCTATAACTCTGAGGTATTGCACCCAGTTTAAATGCCAGTTTCTTCATGCTGGATTTGGAGATTTAACCCAATGACCAGAGTGAGTGCCTCAGTAATGGCACTGCAGGATCAGATGCCCTGCCTGTGGTAACATCTTCACAGCATATTCAAAAATGTAACTTATCTGAAGTTTAAAGTCATGTATTTCATACAGGTTGTTAAGGAAAATTCAGAATAGGAAAGTAGAACCGAATTAACTTAGAATTCCTATCACAAATGACTGGTGGCTTTAAAACGTATAGTTATAAAAGTCTTACAAGAAGATCCTCTGGTTAGTGAGTAATAACAATAATTACAGGTACAAAGAGCTGCAGTAAATCCTGTACAATTTTTGCACTTTGGAAAGAATATTGTTTTATTTCATATCACATAAAATTTGTTAAATACATGAGACACTGCTTCCCTGGTGCTTTTGTTTTTCCCTCTGGATTGTAGCAATGGAGCACTTGCATGTTGTGTTTGATGCCTTGCATGATGAAGACATGCAATGGCAAGTTCCAGTCTGCATGCTGCTTAATGAATGTTTTCCTTTTCTCTCCTTCCCTGTTATGTGCTTACAGAAGACAACTATGTGGAAGGTGGGTGCTTTCTACCTTATTTTCCTAAGCTCTTGTTTTCCCCTTCTGTTTAGTGACTTTTTTCCCTTCTGCTTAATGTTATAAAAGTACACATTCATTCAGTACGGTAAGTTGCATTTTTTACCCATAAAGGTTTATTAAGTAAGTGTGATTTCTTTTTCCATACAGAACACAAGCAAAGCTCCAGTTTAATCTTGGTCTTATTGGTGTAATTCCAGAATATCCCCACTGTAACAATGGGATTTGCACTCATATGAGTAATATCAGAATCTTCAAAATCTTGCAGGAGATTTGCAGAAGCACTGATTTCTTCTAATGTTCTGTATGAAAAACACTTCAAGAAACTATTTGTCTCATTAGTGTGGAGCATAAATCCTCCCGATAAGAAAGTAATGCATGTTAAATACCTATATTTTAATTGCTTAGGAAAATGGAAAGCGCTTTTCTCTTTAACACTAAAAACCTTGCTTACTGGAATATCCTTTACAGCACAAAGTGTTAGAATAAAAAGGTTTTCTGTCTAACGTTTCAGCATATTGCACTTGCCTTTTGGACATTGTGAAAGAAGCAGTATGTGATTTTAATAATTCTGTTGGTATGTGATTAAGTCCCTTTAAAAGAGAGTATGGCATAGGGCAGTGGAAACTAAAGCACAATGCCATCTAGCCTGAATATTGGTAAGTAAGTCTATTAGCTGGTAAATCATACAAATATATGATAGTTTTAAAGGTACAGAATGTGTTTTACAGATCAGGTATTTCAGGAAGTCGATACTGTCTTTTTACCTAGAAGCCAAAAGGGGCAGGTGCTTTTTTATTTACAAGTGCTTTTAAGTCTCTCTAGGGTGAATCTTTGCATACTAGATAAATTATTATCTATCTGAAAAATTAATTTATCTATCTAAACTGAGAAGTTACTTTTATTTTCTTCCAATATTTTAAAAAATATTTTTAAATAAAGGAGTTTGTAAACTAACACATATGTAAAGTGACAGGCCTGGAATGATTCTGACCCAGGGTCCTCTAGTGAGCCACTGTTAGGCCTAAGTTCATTCATGTTTCAAGTCACCCTGAGCCACTGCCTGTTCCGTGGCAATTTTCTAAGGAAGTCTGGAAGTGTTGGTACTGCATTTCTCTATGCTACTCTATTCATGGGTGAAAAGAAATGCTCAGATTTAGCACATAGACAATGCTGTGCAATTTTGTTAAAATATATGTTACCCAAGGAGAAAGAAAATTTAAACAATTCTGGTGCTTTAATTATGTGCAGTCACACACATACAATGCAATTTCATTTTCATTGTGAGATAAAATGTCTTCAGCAACACTGGGATTGAAATTCTAACTGAAAAATATAAAAGCCTAGAAAGAACTACCTAATCTTGTATTTGATCTGTGCATAAAACTCTTGCTGGTGTCAACATGAGTCTCAAAATTTGAATTAGGTTCAGTATGATCAGATTTGGAGGTTCAATTGCATTTCACATACTCGTTTATGCGCAGCAGTAAAAGATAAAGCCTGGATAACAGTTAATCCAGACTTTACCTGAATCTAAGTCTTAAAAATGCAACCTTAAATTTATTCCAAAACAGGTCTGGATACTTATACATACATTAAAGTTACAAAGGATGAATATGTAAAGAATGGAAGCATAGAATGGTATACCTAAAGCACAACAAGAAAACTGAGCTGAGATTTTTCATCTTTGATCTCTGTGGTATCTGAACATCTCTGTAATTTAGGCTACATAAGACAACAGAAATATTTAGTACTCACAGGGTTAATTTTGTATATATATACTGCTGATATGGAAAGGCTAGAATTTATTCATTTTACTGAAGTTGTGCTAGAATTGAACATGTTCACTGCAGGTTTATCACATTTGAATTTTGTTTTGGCCCTGTGCTCTGCATGGAACTCACACACCAAACTATGAAAATATCCTATCTTCATATCTCCTTCCACTATCCCACCCTGCGCCCGTTAACTCTCTCCTCTCAGAGCCAAGTTCAGGATATAGTTGGAGTGGATCACACATGAGGGATTCCTACTAAGTGCAGAATTCCTAATTCACAAGGAAAAGGCTTTTATGAGTCCTCTAATGAAGTAATGGTGCACAAATGAGTATTTTCAATGTATGGGATGCCTATACATGGCTAGTTAAGGCTAGAACTTTCCAGACTATTTGTTGTGGTATTCTCTAATACAAGCAGACTTTTATTTTGAAAATCTAGCAGTGATTGCTACCATGCTAAATTTATCTATACCATTTTAAACCATTCTATGGAACAGGTACTGTACTAGGAATTCTTCACTCTTCCAATAGCCTTCGTCCATAGATTCAAAAATATAAAATAAGGCATTTATCATTATGTATTTTTAGCAAGTAAATATAGGGGACCTTACTGCCTTCAAATAAAGTAACGTACAGAGTCAAACAAAACACAGTGTCTTGAGGACTAGTACTGAATTTTTTAATTGATAGATGTTTGTTTGGAGTAGTGTATGTTTTTTACATTTACTTGACTGCCTTTTTTCATTTAATAACACAATAAGTGACTTAAAATTTAAGTGGTTTCTATGATATTTTCAAGAGGCACTTCTGCCATTTACATTTTTTTTTTCAAATTATGTAAGAATCATGTATTTGCAACTGACCAATTTCACTTATCATTTTAACAAAAGTAGTGGCTATTAAGCAATGATAATCTGAAACTTGTTCTTTTGTTTGGTTTTGTATAGCTAAAAAGATCATATATAAATGTGAGCTAGTAAGAGATAACCTTCTTTGCATTCTCCTGGGAGACATGACAATGATGAGCTTCATACTTTCTAAGAGCTGAAAGTGCTCACATAAAGTAGTGGCTGAAAAGCCACAGTTTTATTAAAGAAAAAGATGTAATGTTTGACTGATTTCACTTTTCCTCTATCAAATACAGTTAAGGTCAAGTCAAAAGCCTGAGATTTCTTGCTGTAGTTGCCAACAAGTTAATCAATCACAAGAAGAGACTGATACTTCCAAAAGGCCATGTGGCAAGGGATCCAAGCAGGAACACCCAGCATTAAAAGAATGAAGCTAAGCTGGTCTTCATACACTGCTGTGTATTTAGGATGCCTCTCTTGCATCAACACTTACAAAGAACACTCATGAAAACATTTTTACTCTCTTTCACAAGCTGCAAACTGTGGTACAGCTGTGTGATGTTTCCCAAGCAATGCTTTTGCAGGCATCCCTTCAGTATCACAGTCAGCTTTCATTTACATTGCTGTAAGCCCCAGGTAATCCCACCAGTTGCAGAGCACTGTATTTGGAAACAGAATTTACTGCACAAGAGATGAGGCAGATCAGGCCCTTCAGTTTAACTACACATCTAAAACAGGCGACATTAAAAAGCACTAATTCAGCAAAACCATTGTTAGTGTGCTTGGAACATCACTTGAGATTTGGAAGTGATAAGATAGGAATCCTTTCAGACTGATTGCAGACGGGAGTATCTTTGAACTCCCCTCTCCCCCCCAATACTATGAGTCATTTGTGCACCTAATTTTCTTTGTGAATTAGAAATCACAGGAACTCTCTAGGAAGTCTGCTTTCCAATAAAGAGCAGGATATTTTATTGCTCACCTTCTTTGTGTGAATTAATTTCAAGTCATTGCAATTATGAAAATAATGTATGGCTTTTTGTAGTTGTTGGAGAAGAGGAGCACATTTAACACATGAACAATTAATAACTTCTAAAATGGATCCTCAAACAGCAAAGTTCAACAAGAATAAATCTGTTTTTTAAATCATACATAAAATGTGAAAAACCTTATATTTCTAGAAAAATGCTTTCCCCGCATCATATTACACTCAGTGAGAATTTAGGTATCATTTTATTATCATGGATTAAAAAAGCTGAATATTTTTACTTAAAGAGTAACAAAATTTGGCTCTGATTGAGTGATTATCATTATGGACATCTGTTTTGAAATGTCACTAGATCTATTATGGTATGATTGAATTTCATTTCACAATACAAATATAAAGCAAAATCTATTTTTCACAGATTTATGAAGTAGTTGCAGAAGCTGTCACTTAAATTTTCTTTATTACTACGTATTTTATATTGCATATGTAATAATTTGCCTTCTCTGGAACAAATTCATTCTACTGTCACATTTCACACAAATAAGGAGACCTCCTTTGCATTATCATTTCAGTGTGATGAAGAAATTTTATTTAATTACCTGAAATGCTCATTTTTATGAGGGGAAAAAGATCAGACCCAGCCCATTTTTCAGGTTTAAACTTCTCCAGGTTTTAAATGTCATTTCACTTGTAGAGGACAGGAAGTCCTCCCAGCAAAGTGTTCAAAGCAATATAATCAAAATATTATAAATATAAATGGATAATTAAAGGAATTGGTTGGATTTGAAAGCATTTTATTGTTTTCTGTCATCCCAACTACTGCACATTACCAAAAACCCCCACAATAAAACAGCACCCAGTGTTTGAATTGCAGTTCTGTTACTCGTAGCCCAAAGCATTCCAACCAGTGGTTGAAAAATGCTCTTTGATTTCCCTCTGTGATACAGACATCTCATAGGAAACAGATGCCTGTCACAAAACATTTTTGTCAGTGTGACAACACCACCTTCCCGTGCTCCCTTGTTCATTGCTGACTGTGCTCTTGTTTCCCTTCAAGGTCTGGCGCACCTGATGATGGGCGACCAAGGTATGGGCTCTGTTCCTTTTCCACTCTGCTTTCATTGTTTCTTCTTGTTCTGTAGCTGCTTTGAATCCATCACTGCAACTGATGGGCAAATGCTTGAAAGCTGTCTTTGGCTGCAAAGAAACACATGGTTTTAGTCACATCTTTTCTTATTTCATTTTTTTGGTTTTTTTTTTTGTTTGCTCCGTAAGCTTTTGTCCTTCCTGCCTCCTCAACTCCCCCTCTTGCATACAATAAATGAAAAGAGGTGAGAGGAATAAGAAAGTGATTAAGAAAATTTCATGTATCAGAAAATACAATTACGGGTGATTCTGTAAAGGATAAACAAAGCGCAAGACCACTCTTCAAATAGCTCCTGAAAGAAGATACTCAGCTTACCACATTGTACACATTGAAGACTCCATTTACATTAATGCATGGCTGATTGGAAATGTGCAAAAAGCACCTGCTCCTGGCTTCTGGAATGCTGAGAGTACAATTTTGCTACCTAACAAAATCAGTGATTTTTTTTTCTCCTAACCGTTGCCCATGTTACTTTTGTGACAGTCTTTCTTATCTAAGCATGGGTTATTTCTGTGTTTCTCTGCATGTACATGATTAGGAAGAAATAAACTAAATCCCTAATATGACACTAATTGCATCTCCATTTGTCTTCAGACACTTACCTTATACTTTGTCTCTTCATATTCAGATAGTATTGCATTTACATGTACTCATGACTCTTACTGTTGTTTCTCTCCTCTTCTTTATTCTCTTTTTGTCTGGAAATGCTTTCTTCATGGAACCATTTCACCAAATCCATAGGTAAAAGTAAAGGTATAACATGATTTTCTTTATTTTTAATGTCATCAGTATACTTTAATGTATATATAAGTAATGCAAATAAATGTAAAATTTTTGCACTGATAACGTGAGGTAGGTATATTCTTAAAGTAAATATTTCATTGATATCGTGATAAGGGCAATTATTCTAAAGTACAGACTGACCAACTTTAAAGTTTGTCTCCTGGTTTTTTGTGAGAAATGTAGAGCTTTGGCAGTGATAAAGAAGGCTACAGTTATAGAAAGCATTCAGGATGAAATAACAGCCCCATTTTGAGGTATGCCTTTTTCTGTTCTCAAGAAATTGTAGTCTAAACCACCAGACGCAGGAAAAAAGGCATGATGTTGTTCAACTTGGGCTCTCTGGAGATAATCCGTCCAGGGTCAGCCCACAGCTTGATGTAAGTTCTAAGTTAGAATAGCACTGCCTTTAGCAAGTCTGCCATCAACCAATCGCATTTGCCCTGAGATTTTCCTTGTATATTAATCACTTGGAGTATATCTGAGACAAGAATTGGACAAAGAAACGAGGAAGAATGAATGACAAAGAGAAGTATTGGGTTATTTCAGATTTTTTTATTCTTTTTGTTTCTTTATGTAAAGAATACCAGCTGTGTTTACTTTCTCTCTCCTGGAGGAGATGTGCAGTAGGGTCAAGATTTTCCTTGTATAAAAAACACCAGGTTTTGCTACAAGGATACTTGTTCACAGACATCCTGTAAATATATTTTTATAGTAAGAAGATGGTCATTAAAAGCCATTTAATCTCTGTTATGTGTGATGAATGATACAGTTCTATTCATCTTAAGCATTTTTCATGGTGTGCCTACTCTTTGTACAAATCAGAAATCCAATCTGCATGGACATACTTTCCTAACTACTTAAATTGGAAAAAAAACACAAAACTTCCAGGTTTGTTGTTGTCTTGGCTTTATTGTCTCCAGACCTAGAAAGTTCATGTGATTCAAAGACGGTAATTAAAACTCTGTAGTGTCTCATTTCTCTTCATATCAGGCCCCCTGGAAAGACTGTATACCTGTATAGGTGGGATACCATTTAAAGGCCTATGTATGTTCTGGAGCTTAAATCTTCTTGCTTAGCAAAAGTTTTAGGCACTTGTGAAACCCAATATACTGATTTCTTTGTTTTATAAGATCATTTTGTTTTGTTTGTTGTATGGCTGCTCCTTGTGTTTTTCTCAATAGTGCCTTGTATGTATGACTTCCTTATTATTTCTTATTGCTATCTTACTCCTAATCAGTAGAAGTCTTGAGTAGAGTTACCTTAAAATAACCTGTTATAGTAACTGAAGCTTACCACTATATATCATTTTTAATAATGAGGAACTATTTTTCTATTCTGTACACAGAATAAATTATGTAGTATGTACAGCACTGAAGAATTTATTTTAGTATGAAAGGATTGAAATATAAATGTTATGAATATACACTATGATCATTATTTTATCTGGAAAGCAGATTTTTAGCAAAAGAAAACTTTGCAAGTATTGTACCATAGTTAGACACTTATATTTTTATTTTTAAAGGTTTAGCAACTATTTTCCCCCCAAAATTACTTTGTATATACTAGCTACATTTAATGTTTCATAATGTGCCATGTGACATAATTTGAATACCAGTCACCAGTCATCTAATCATTTGACTACATTTTTATTTTCATACTTTAATTTTTTTATTAGATTTATCCAGTTAATATAGAAATAATTATTACTATGTTTTGATAACCACAACACTTCTTCTGCAAATATAATGGTGTATATCTGTTCAAATGGATGGAAAGGGTTTATATATATACAAATGCCAGTTGCTTGTAACAGAAGATATCCCTCAATATTGAACCACCTCCTCAACCAGTGAAAAATTACCTCATTTTGTTGACTATCCTGAAGCTACACTAATATCACCTACTGAAACATGTGACCTTGAAACAGTGGTGATAACACACATCTGTAACACGTGACAATATAACAAGTTAGGAGAGTGATGGAAAGGAATGAAGGAACAAAAGAGGAGCACCTATTTCAGTCTTTCATTGTAAGTTCCATTCCTTGAGAGGTAGGGAAGGTCAGTAACAAAAGTGATTGCAAAATTTTTAGTGATTATATCATGAATTATTCATTTTGTAAATGTAGGCAATAAAAAATTTTTAAGAAGACTTACTATGTAATTTGTCCTGAAGAGTATAAATGGCTGAAGTATCAGCCATCTGCTTTAATTGTGTAGAAATTTTAGGGGGAAATTGAAAAGGAAAAAAGAATCAATGTATCCTCAGAATTAGGGCAGGGTGTTAATAAGGCAGGGATCTGGTGTTGACAGAGAAAGGAGAGATGAGACAACCTCTCCAAATGGGCAAACTATACAGAATCTAGTACCATCTCACTGGATGCAGCTGCTGTTTGTGATTTAGTTGTAAATATAAATTTGGATAATCTCCTCACCAAGTTTTTATTGAAGCTTTACCAATATTAACAAAGCTGTTATTGTCCCTTAGAGAAAGGCAGAAACAAAGCTCAGAAGATGTCGAGTGCTGAGACCTGAGTCAGTACTTCAGAGGTCATTTGACCTGGTCTAGGTGCAAAACCAGCTGACACAAATGAGGATATAACATAAAGCTGACATCCCATGTAAAAGCTTGTCTCATAACTTTAGAGCTACACAAAATTGTTTCATGATCCATTACTCCTTGTAGATGCTATGCCTAATTCTAGGAAGAGCTGCAATCTTTTATTTATACCGGTGTTCATTTATTTTCTGATAAGCATCATGTATGTTCAGAAGTACTTAGGAATTCCTTTTTTGTCCTGTGGAAATCACCTGTTAGTATTCAACTTTAGCAGCAGAGTTGTCACAGCTGCGGTGGTGGAAAGACATAGGCAAGGTAAGGCTTGTAAATGGGGTTCATGTTTTTATTAGATCACTTGAATATACTGCTCAGAGCAATTGTTTGAATTTGAAGCAAATCTGGAATCTGCTGCTCATAATAGACATGGAAAAGGATTTGTTTACCCAAAACAGATGTTTGCCCAAAAAAATGTTGTTGGTTTTCTCCAGCTATTGGATGTGGTCTAATAAAACTACCTTTCCACCCATGGGCCTTACCTCGTCAAAGTCATGAAGAATTATTTTGTAATTAATTCTAATACAACTAAACTTACATGGCAGCTAATGTAAAACACTCAATTTCTTTCTTTTTCATTTTTTTAGAAACCCTATCTCCTCCTTTTCATATTCTTTTGATGAGCAGTGAAAAGAATTTATAATTCAGAAACTATAATGTAGTGACATCCTTTTTTATATTGCACTTCTCTTAAGCCTATGCATATTTTTATCTGTAGTTTATTTCTATGCCTACTTTTTACTACATATATTACTCATTCTATACCTAAATACTTTGTTCATACTCCTGTTCTATTACTTTGGAGATTATGTGCAGCTTTAAATCATGAATCACTCAGGTCCCTAGCAAACTATTAAATGTTAGCCAGCTGAACAATAAGTGTTTCTACCAAAAGATTGATAGTACAGCTGCAATTTATTGTATTAGTTTAGAGGCTTTTAATGTGCTGGTATTTGATGTGCTGTTTTTAAATGCTGAAGAAAGACTTCAGAATGGCAATTTATGTGTCAACTTCTTGCCAAAGGAGGGCAAGTTTTGTATTGCACTAGCTATCATACAATATCTGTAACACCAAAGTGATGCCACTAACTTCGTAATTATCAGTCACACAATTCATTTGACAACTGGAAAAATAGGGCACTGAAAAATAAAAGCAATATGAATAAATCCTTAAATAATCATGAGCATTAAAATGGTGTGTTGTACTTAAGTCATTATGTAGTGCTTACACAAACATCACCTTGTGCCAGTAACCTCTCCTAACATCAAACTATGTAGAATTCAGTCATTAACCTTACTGAGACCACAAGTTCGTCTTACTGTGTTGACTTTAGTTTTTGCTCTGTTTTCAAAGAATTAAAATTGCCTTGGCCCCTTACACTCTGTTCCTCCATGGGTTGTTGAAAAACCTATCCTGTTCTCATCTGCTTTTGTGTGAGCTGCTTCAAAGAGGGTCTGAGAGTCATCCATCCTCCACCCTTCCTTGACCTGAGCCACCAACAGTCCAGAAGCCATGTAAATGCTTTGGTGCAGCCCTGAGCCCTAGTACAGCTTATTATTTTTGGCTCAGTGCCCTGTTGACTTGGATTCTGTTACACGCCTTCTCAACTGCAGCTGGCTTTTGCCTGGCAGGTGCAAAACATGGATGGAGGGCATTCTTGACTCTCTGTACTTGTTCACATAGTTGTGTATCCTAGGTGATGGCAGCTTATTTGAAAGACTCTCTGCTAGAACTGAAGTGAGTTAATTTAGGAGTTTTACACATATTAGGGTTGCCAAGGTCGTGTATCTGAAATGGTTTCTAAGTGACATTACAGCAGAAGAATGGGTAACTTGCACTTCCCTGCTCAGTCTCATAGTTCCTTCTACTGATAAAATAATGTTTAAAAATTTATTCTCAGTTTAACAGGTCCTAAACATCCTGAAGTCTTGTATAATTTACAAAATTATGAACATGAGAATTTAAAAAACAGCCTCTATAAAATTAACATGATTTTTAATGAGAATTACAGTTCTTATTAAATTAATGAACTATAAATATAAAGCTCCTCAAAGTACTCCAAAGAGCCGTAGCTACACATAATATCTGTTCTATAATGACTTTTTTTTTCCCCAAAGAACCTCATAAATATACTTAAATAGAGGCTGCGTTCACCAAAAATATTACAATTAAGTTCTTGTGTAACCCATGCCCCTTTGCCTACATATGTATGTTCCAATAATTTTTTATACTATCCTTATATTTTAATGGTCAATATGTTCAAATTTTTGTTGAATATCATAACGAACTGTGCATTTAGTGTTTGTTGTGATGCACTGAAGCAAGTAATTTCCTTGCACTTCAGTGGCTGATGCCT